CAATATGATACCCCATTGTCACCACGAGTATACAATTGCAAGACATATATCAAGTGTTCTCAAATCCATAAAAGTATTCAATTCGATAACAACGAAATCTCAAAGGGAAAAACTCAATTCATCACAACAAGATAGAGTGGGTAAAACACCATATGATCCAACTATATTAACAAAGCCCACGATACATCAAGATCATGACATCTCATGAACACGAGAGAGAGAGAGAGATTAAACACATAGCTACTGGTACAAACCCTCAGCCCCGAGGGTGTACTACTCCCTCCTCATTGTGATGGCCGCTGTGATGATGAAGATGGCCACCGGAGATGATTCCCCCCTCCAGCAGGGTGCCAGAACGAGGTCTAGATTGGTTTTCGGTGGCTACAGAGCCTTGCGACCGCGGAACTTCTGATCTAGGTTAACCCCGAGGATTTTCGGAATATTTGTGAATTTAGGGTAAAGAGGGGGTGCGGGAGGCCACCGAGGTGGGCACAACCCACTCGGGCATACCCAAACAACAACAAAGTCAATCTAGACCTAACCATATAAATCATACCAAACAACAAAAAATCATACCAAAACCATATAAAATTGTTGTGAACATGGCATGAATACTTCATAAATTATAGACGTATCAGGAACCACCGACTGCCCACCACCCGAGAAACCACCCGACATAACCTGACCCAACGCATCCAATAACCGAGAAAGGCACATGCACGCCCGCGGTGACTGAGAACCCAGAAGTGCAGGGGATCTATCATAGCCTTTTCTATAAGCAAGAACGTCAAACTCAACAAGGAGCTAAAGGAATTGGTTGATGGGAAACTAGTAAAAAATCACTGTAAAAGCTGCAAATAATGTTTGATAGTTTGTCGATCACGTGAGTAATTGCAGGAAAGTAAATAGTAACAAAAGTGAAACGATGCAGCAAGTGGTCCAGTCCTTAATTGTGACAAGGACAAGCCAGTGATTTTACATATAGGGATCAAATCACTTTCGAGGACACACATGAGTTTCATCAAGTTGCTCACATCAAGTTTCATTGAGTTACTGTTCACTGTTTGGAACAACAACATACTTACAGTTATGTCGTCTCTGTAAGCATTCGTAAATACAAGAGAACGATCAAGATAACATCTAACAATAGCCATGAACTTTGGAGTTCCATCAACCCCTCATGCAGTAGTCCATAAATTCAGGGGATGGTACTTTATGCCACCCCAACCACCTGCCATGAACATACTAATCACACAATGATCTTCTCTAGGCCCATGAAGGTGAAGTGATATGCACTCAACGCTCGCGCATCACCACTAGAAAATAACATCATCACAACATAATATCAAAGCATTGAATTAGATTTAACTTCACAAGATTAACATCACATGTCCTCGGTACCACAACGAACTACTCACAATGCATTACGTGGATCGTGATTAATGAAGATGAATATAGGAATAACAATGTAAACATATGGACTTTTCACCAATAAACTTCTAAGCATCAATTACATGGGGTAATCAACAACATAAACTATATTGACCAAAGGAACCGAGGTAAAAGTTTATAGATCGGATAGCTAGGGTTTGAATGGGCCCTCCCATTTCGTCTTGATCAAGGGGTCTGAACCTCCAAAGACACGACATAATATAGTTGTTCATTAATGGATAGGTCAATGTCTAGATTATCTCAAGGAGTACAGTGAGGCGGTTATAGTGTTCTCACTTCGAAACTAGTCCTTGTTGCTTAGTACGACTTTAACAATGATATATCACATCATATCTAACAAAAACAATCTCATATTTTCATTATTGCCAATGACATCTGCTAGGGTCTGAGATGATGAGGGGTACATTAGTGTGGTAGATCTGAATATATATGATGCACATCCTATATATCTATTTCAAATAGTTTGGATATACCTAAGAGAGTCATCCCTACTAACTTATTTTATCTCAACATGAAAGCAAGTCACTTCACCTACCATTATGAATAGGATCCCACCTCTCATGCATGGGAAAAAACCTACCACAACATTCAACCATGCATATGAAAAATTTTTGCCTTCAATTATTCTACATATATTCGATAAATATTGTTATAATTATACATAATCAAATATAACAAGTCACATGTATTTTTAGGGCGTATTGATTCAAAGGTTTCCTGTTTGAATTTTATAGGATTTAAAATATTGTTTGATTGATAGGTTTGCAAGTTTTCATAGGAAAATTACCATTCACTACAAGCTCATGGGAAGAATGAAGAATCATACATTTTTTGTGCACAATCGATTGCACTAACCCCATAGTATTGAAGATGCCATGCCACTCCATTTCTATGTTTTTCTATTCCTACGTCTTACAAATTCTTCGAATCAAAGAGACCCTTAGGCCTAGGTTGGAATTTTTAAAAGTACTGTAGTAACTCAAAATCTCAGTTTTTAATGTGTGCACAATAAATACTTCGGTTGTCAAAGACCATAGTTTTCCCCTGTTTTGGCAAAACAACCTATGTGTTTGGCAAGTGCTGTTTTATCATAGCTTTGACTCATTTTTTCGAAAAGAAGATTATCCCCCGGCCTCTGCATCAGAACGATGCATACGGTCATATTATTAAACAAATAAAATGGTTCAACAAAGTCTTCAGGTCTCAAAGGTAAAAAAACTCACAAAGAGCATAAACGGAGAAAAGCCACAACCAGCCGGCATATAGAAGATAGGAAACTAAACACCTATCCTATTAGAGTAGTGCTACACAGACGATAGCTTGTGCATGATTTGTGGACGATGGACAACAACGTCCGTTGGATAGTATTGTTTAACAAATCTGCACTGTTCAAGGATGCCGTCGTCTAGACATCGTGCATGCGCAGTCGTCTGTAGAGTAGTTTCGATCCTATTACATGACCACCATCCAAACTGGTTGAAGATAGCTCGTACTACCATCTCCCACCGGATAGACCCAGTAACTAAACGCTCTCTGGCATCCGTCGGAGTGAGTAGCGACCACATACAGATCAATGCAGTGGCCCAAAAAATAACCTGCAAGAAGTGAAAATTTGTTGTTCTGTTAAAAACCATATCATTCATGCAGTTTCACACTGCCCATAATAAAGCACATACTCCTACACGAATCTGTCTCAAACAAATGTATTCGGATGAGTAATATTAAATGCTATGTGGATAGACTACCATAGTATTTTTGTCATTGGGCAATCAAGAAAGAGGTGTTTGATGGATTTGTTCTGATCACAGAAGCTACATCTTCTAGATCCTGTCCAGTTGCGTCCAAATTGTCCTTAGTTAGAATGAGTTGTTTATGGACAAACCACATAAACACTTTAACTTTTAAAGGTACTTTTGACTTTTCAAACATGTTTCGATCTAGGAATATGGTCAGTGTTAATAAGATCCATATACATGGACTTAACCGAAAACTCTCCATTCTAAGTGAGTTTCCAGTATAACTGATCTGACTGTTGAAAGAGGTGAACATCCATCAATCTTCTCACAAGATGGAGTCAAGCTTCCCAACGGTTTCCCGCTAAAGCCTCCGAATTGAATATTGAGAGGGTTGGATTGTAATATTGTTGCAACGTAAGCGTCTCTTCACTGAACAATATTATAGAGAGAAGGATATTGGATAGCTTTGACTCATTGCATTAACGTCAGCTACAATTAATTAGATGATCTGTTACGAGAAACAGCCGCCCATTGCAAATATCCATGCCATGCACGCCTACTCCTCTCCTAGCTGGGGCAAAATCGTGTATGTGTGTACGTGCGCCACTGGCTAGTTTTCATTCTACCGCGTACGAGTGTGCTCCAACGATGAGTTGATCTACTCTACGAGCGAGCTTCGATTCATGTGTAATGAGCAGCCACTGAATACAAGCGTACACGATTGCTAGAAAGTAATATGTACTCAGCTAGCCGCAACAGGCGTAAAAAACTAATCATCTATAATAGTTAGGAGACAGTGGCGATTCTACTAGGGAGGCTTCAATAGGCTTAAGCCTACCCTTCAAAAATCCTATTAGCTAAACATTACCGCTTCAAAATTATATCAAGGTGTTTTATATGCACCAACTGCAATACATTTGCTAATTAGGCCTAGGAATTGGTGTATTGAGCCTACCCTTCTTTGTTGTGCTAGATTCGCCACTGTTAGAAGATAGACTAAACTTCGTTTAACAGATATATACGGAGGAGGAGTCGGAGAAGGCTGAGCGCTCTCGCAATTTCTCTTGGCCCAGTTTAGAAAAAAAGAGGTCAGAGTTTGTTTTCCAGATAGTGCAAGAAAACTGCGATATGAGAGATATCAGGGTATTTTGAGCTACAATATTTGTTTCATCCAAACGTCTCAAAGTATTTTGTACCGTCTTTTTTTTCTTCAGAAACCATGATATTTCAGAAAAATTGCAAAAATACTTTGCATCCAAATGCATCCTTAATTTTGATTCTCATGTTATTAATCTAAATTTTTATTAACCAATCCTCGCAACAACGCGTGGGGTATTCTATTGTAAGCTGCAATTTACATGCATTTCATTGGCAGCTACGCTGCAATTTACACGCATTACGTCGGAATTACATGCATGCCATCGGAAACAGAGGTCCGGAGCCGGAAAGTAAATTTCGTACTACCACTGTTCCACCGAGGGAAAAGAAAGCAGTTCTCGCACTGTTCCTGTTCGCGAGCTGCCGCCGCCCCACACACAAACACAAACACAAACGGAGTCACACGCACATTCCTTTCCTTTGCTCCCCCACAAAACCCTCCCACAAATCTCTCTCCCTCCCTCCCCTCCCCTCCCACCTCCCTCCGCTTCTCTCTCCTCCTTTCCCCCTCCTCTCTCCCTCCTCTCTGCTCACCCCTCCCCGCCTCGGGATTCGCGTCCGTCCCTTTCTCGCGTTCGTTCGTGCGGGGGCAGGAAACCAGGGAAAGGGCGGCGGCGAGGAGCGGCGGCGGCGGCAGGAGGAAGAGGGGAGGCGATGGCGGCGGCTAGGGTTTCGATCCCGGCGGCGGTGCGGCGGACGATCCAGAACATCAAGGAGATCGCGGGGAACCACACCGACGAGGAGGTCTACGCCGCGCTCCGCGAATGCGACATGGATCCCAACGAGACCGCGCAGAAGCTCCTCCACCAAGGTATCCCCACTCCCCCCATCTCGGCCCCCTTCGATTCGATTCCGCGTGGAGCAGGCAGCCTCTCTCATCTCGCGCGGCGTTGGCGCGCTAGGTCTTGGCAGCGAGAAATGAGGGTTTCTCTCTCGTAGGTGAACGCAGGACGCGCGATGCCTAGTACGCCTCTGACGGCGCCCGATTTGATGCGAGCCTGGTTGGTTCTGTGTCCTAGGGTTTGTGCCGTTTCCTCTCGTTGTTTGAGGTTTCGTGATTGCTGTGCCCGAGATCCTGATTTAGAGTACAACAACCAATCAAGAGTAGTAGAGCTTGGTGAAATCATGTTTTAGTTTTTTCTCTCCTGTTCGATTCGGCTAGCTAGTTCTGCAGGGTTGCAATATCTTTGGGGGAAAAGCCGAGTAGTTGATACTACGTCATGTATTGATTTTATTAGTGGAAACATGGTATCCTGTTTTGAAGGATGGCAGTACTAGTGTGTTTGTGGGTGCTTCCTGGATCTTCCAATCGTGTGTGTGGTGGTGGTGGAAGGGGGGGGGGTGCTGTTTGGGTGCGGCTCCTTAAGAGCAGTTTGTGGCTTGCCTTAATTTGTCGGGAAGCAAAGCGTAGAAGGAACTCAAAGTAAATATTTGATTCAAGCAAAGCAAATTAAACTTGGATACATAAGCATTTGTACCAAAATAAGATATGTATGAAACAGTGTAACACACAAGACATCGTTCTCTATGTTCAGTTTCACCTACAAGTTACAAATATCATTTGAATTTTCGTGCTGAAAATGGATTTAGAAAAAGGTTAAAAGAAACTGCTAAGCAATAATTATGGGGTCTTACTAGGCAGAATGCCTCAAGGGGCAAGGCTGGGAACCTCGTTAGAAACTCGTGTCATACGAGGTCAAATGCATAGAGTGGCAAGGCTGGTGACATGGGACAATATCTTTTGACCTGAAAGTTGGATTAATTAACCTCCGGTTGCCACAAAGGTTACTGTATGTCTGAGGCCTTTGAGTTGAATCATAGATGTTTCTGCTAGTTAACGAGGCTGCCTCTGGTTGCACAACTATGCATGTCTGCTGCTTACTGTTCTTTTATAATCGCTTTTGTATATTAGGGCCATTTGAAATTGCCTTTCTACATTAATTGTCACTTTTGTATAAGTTTATGGGTCCGGCTGCACACAGCCAGCCAATAAAAGCTAGCCCTTTGTCTGTGCTTCATTTTTATTGTGAAAGTCTGAGCAAAGGCTAATCAAATAGGGATATGTCTTCTGTTTCATTTCCTTTGTTATTGTATGAAAGGGGTGTGTGTGTGTTTGTGCTTCTTGATTATGTTGGTTTAGGTCTTTAGGATTACAGCTAGTATTGTGTACACTCCAGCTAATTGGGGAACTCTTTAAATGCTGGAGTTTAACCAAGGGAGATGGTTTTGAAGATTCCCGATATCAATTGTGATTCATGTTCAAGATGGATATGTTGGACTTGTGGTAGCATGAACTTTTGTTTGAGACCTTGTTGAATGGAGTTAGCTTCAACTTAACTTCTATGTAAACTGCAAAAGTTTAAGTCTAGTATTTTTGCTTCTAGAAAAAGCGTGTGTTCTTATATGTGCAAAGTAGACCATTCTAATATCTTACTCGCTGGAGAGTGGATATCATGTTGAGTTAAAGTACTCCCTCCGTAAAGAAATATAAGAGCGTTTAGATCACTAAAGTAGTGATCTAAACACTCTTATATTATTTTACAGAGGGAGTAACATATTATTTTGGTTATTCAGCCTGTGATTGATCAATAGGATGAATGTGAGAATGTCTCGTAACTTCACTTTCTCCCAATCCTAGTTAGTGGAGTTTCAACCTCACTCTATGTTTAGAACTGCCAGAGATTAAACTCAAAGCTTTTTTTCGCTGTGAGAAAAGCTTATGTTCTTGTATGTAGAGAACGGACCACTCTTATATCTTATTCTCTGGAGATATGTTGAGGTAAACGGAAGTAATGGCTTGTTTGAGGTATCCCTTTCTTGCTTCGCTGCATGTCATATCACCAGTGTGTATTTATTATTGCACATTTGATGCTAGATCTTTTGGTATAATTGTACCTTAACAAGATCTCTTATTATTTCAGATACCTTCCATGAGGTGAAAAGAAAGCGTGACAAGAAAAAGGAGGTAAGAGGACCCCTATTTTGACGCTGATATTGTTACCGTGCAATACTTTCCCACATCTTTATCTGGTCTTTAATCTGTTTGCACAATCAAGCTTTCATCATTAGTTGATATGTCATTGCAAGATAGTGATGATAAAAATAGTTTTGGATAAGTATTGTTGTGGCATAAGCTAACATGGGGCGTTTGGCTCATTTCATCGGTGATACTCCCTCCGTTCCAAATTAATCGAAGTTCTAGCTTTGTCCTAAGTCAAACTTGTTTAACTTTGACCAAGTCAACTGTATTGGTTTATAACAGTTACTAAGATGGGCATAAGATGTCATATAACATATTGACATAGTTACTATATGCGTACCCTTTTCTTTTGCGAAGGTTAACATATCCTTTTCTTTATCTTACAGAGCAACAAAGAATCTGTTGACCCCCGATGGAGACCTGGGACACAGGGGCGAGGTGGAAAAGGTGGCCGTGGGAACTATTCTTCACGCCAATTAAGCAACTGTAGTGGTAAGCTTGCATTACTCTGGAGAATGAAGTGCCGTAGCAAGTACAGAGATGTGGCATTCAGTTTTTGATTATGTCCAGTCTGATAATGTAGGGATGTGGCATTAACTATTTTTCTTAGAAGTCTGCCTTTATAATCTTGAAACATATGGGTAGTTAGATGAAGTTACAATTGGTGGGAATGACGACATGTAATCGATGTTACATGATCGCTATTGCCGTTCCATTTTGTCAGTGCAATGTGAATATGCATTTTAGAAGGGGAGCCTTGGCGCAGCGGTAAAGCTGTTGCCTTGTGACCATGAGGTCACAGGTTCGAGTCCTGGAAACAGCCTCTTGCAGAAATGTAGGGAAAGGCTGCGTACTATAGACCCAAAGTGGTCGGACCCTTCGCTGGACCCTGCGCAAGCGGGAGCTACATGCACCGGTCACAGGTTCGAGTCCTGGAAACAGCCTCTTGCAGAAATGTAGGGAAGGCTGCGTACTATAGACCCATAGTGGTCGGACCCTTCCCTGGACCCTGCGCAAGCGGGAGCTACGTGCACCGGGCTGCCCTTTAATGTGAATATGCATTTTACAGTTAGTAGGGTTACATATTCATACACGATGTACCCATCTATCTTCCTGTATCCATTTCAAAGTATCCCAGAAGTGAAAACTAATTTATAATAAGCAATCCTTTACATAATAGTCAAATTTCCTGTTATTGTAGATGGCACCGGGAGAAATGCTCCTGCTGGAAAGGAAAATGACCTGAATCCGAGTATGGATAAATGTACTAGCCCTTCACCTGTCAATCCAAGCACAGAAACGAAGCTATCAACTTCCATTTTAAGGTATTTATGTTGGAAAGGAACACCATTGAACATTTACTGTTCACCAAGTTCTGTCTTTTTGTTTGCCCTGTATATTGTATTATTGTTTAGTTATCTTATTGGTGCTCTGTGCTTTTCTTAGTGTGGTCAATTAATATTCTGAAATTGATGACAATAAATACATGTTTGGCAGAAGTGTGCTTCTTTTCATTTTCTTCTTCGAAATGATATGTTGGTTCTCGGAGGATTCATTAGTCTTACTATAATACCCTTTCAAATGTAGTGCCAGTGTGCCACTGCATTTTAGAACAGGCTGTGTGGTTAGATGTTGCAACTTTGTATCTTGATCATTTTTCTAAGGTTTCTTGGATCACCTTGTATGTAGAGAAGCGTAGGACTTTTATATTGTACTAGCAAATTTTGCCAAAAAGCATGATCATTTGCGAGTTTATACACAAGAAACAAGATAAGAATGACTAATATCAATCATAAATGCACATGTGTGCATTTTCCCTATTTTGAAATTTTACAAGTAGGCTTTACAAACGGAGCATGTGCACCTGAGTCCTGCTGCAGCTGTTTAGAAACGCAACTGACTTTTTAACAGTTCGTCAGGTGGCTTATCCAATGGTCCATCACAACCTCTTGCTCCCGTGGCGAAACATTCTCAGCCTACTTGTCACTTGCCACCTTCAGATTCAAAAGGACTGGCGGGCGTTAAAGGTACCCCAGAAGAGGTTGTCTTGGATTTAGTTTCACATGTAAACAACTCATCAATTCAGGCGCTAGGAGTGGGTACTTCTGTTTCAGACCCACTGCTCACGCCGGCCATTCAACCCCACAGTCATGGTGGTGAGATCGTTGCCAACAAACATGCTGTCAGAAGTCAGCGGTCAGCAGGTGAATATAAGGTGGTTTCCGATGATGCATCAGCACTTCCGAAAGGTACATGTATATATGCAGACACTTTCTCCAGTTGGAACCAGTAACCCGTAGTTTGGTTATCTTTTGTTATGTTATTAACACATTTTCATGTGTCTAGACACCCCCCAGTCTTCTGGTTCATCTTCTACTGTGCCGCCATCTGGTAGCAGGCCATCTTCTAGCTACAGTAGTCGCTCACAGCAGCCAAGTGGCTTGCAGAAAGGTACTTTAGAACTCCAATATATGAGCATTCCTCTGCATTTCTTATTGCAGAACAGCATGCATCTATTGCAAGTTTTGCAACCAGTTCTATAAGTCGTGGTTAGTATCACTATTACTGTTTTAACTTCAGATGCCATACCATAGAGCACATGCAGTTATTGAATCACTGTTATGGTGGAAATAGCAGTTGCTGCATATAATTAGATTATTTATTGGACATGTAATTAGGCTTTCATGCCAATATCATTCTGGGATCTGTGTTGGTATATGGCTTGAGTACTTGTTGTCTTGACTCAAAACTCCTGTAACTATTGTGCTTCTCCGTTGATGAAAAGATGTGAAAATGTCTTTTGCATGTTCTCTTAAGAAGACCCAGTATAAGGATCAGTGAAAATAATACGAAGCCATCTGAACTATCATAATTATCTCCTAAACCTTTTTCCTTCAATAGACACTGTTGTTTGTAATAGTACACTACTCCCTCCGTTCCGAATTACTTGTCGCAGGTATGGATGTATCTAGATGTATTTTAGTTCTAGATACATCCATTTCTGTGACGAGTAATTTGGAACGGAGGGAGTATATTTGATTTAATATTTTGTTGCTAGAAAAGGAGGTTTTAAAGAAATATTTTTGACACCATTGGCAACTGTGCATGCTCCCAGTTGCTGGTTCTTATCGTAGTTTTGTAAGCTTATCTAAGCAAGTGGTTGAAGTTTAAGAAACCCAGGAACAAACACTCTTCTTGTGCCTCCTGTTTCACATGTGGAGGTCTGGATTTGATTATCTGGCTCCTTGTTTCTTCTCTCATGCAAGGAGAGGTGGAAATCTGCTAGACTGGGCTTTTGTGTCCAGGAAGGCGCGACTTATATATGGATCTCTGATTAGATCTAAACTGAAACCTACTGAAATAAACTTAGTGTCATAATAAAGAACTTCTACTTGGACCAGTAAAGTAGCTGGACCGGTTTTACTAATAATAGTTTTTATGCCTTGTTCATATGCACATGAAAAGCTGTCATTGTTCCTTGCTAACTGTTGAGTGAGCCAGGATGCGATTGTGATATTGATAAGTTGTTCTCTAATTGATGCATGATTAAATTCTTTTTAGTTGATTTGCGTAATTCATTCTACCGTGAAAGTGATGGCATCTTTCTGCAAATAACAACATTCAACGATTAATCCTGATCACTTAACGTAATTCTTCGTTTCACGCCAACACTCATTTCTTCTATGTTTGCTTTATACCATGCACTTACAGATTCTTTATAGCTGACAGCTACCTTTCAGACAAATAACAAAGCTTATTAGTTTTTTTGTAGTTCTTACAATGTTTGTAGGTCATTGTTCTATATTAACTGTCATTTATTATTGAAAATCTTTCCTTTGTGTTACTAATCATAATACAAACTTTGTTATCTAGCTGTTCCAAATAAAGAGTGGAAGCCAAAACCAACGAACAAACCCACCCAAGCTGAAAATGTTGCCCGTGATGATGTAGCTGTTACTGTGGAGGTTGTTCCACAGTCAGTTCCTGCACCAACTTCCATTAATAAGGAAGATATCTCTTCGGGATTGGACAAAAGACTCGGTGATATGCAGTTATTCGACAAGCAGCATGTCATTATTCCGGATCATCTTCAGGTCACAGAGTCAGAAAAATACGGACTCAGTTTTGGCAGTTTTGGCACCAGTTTTGAACAAGCTCCGAGCATTCCAAATGACCATGGGAGTGAGAAGAGCTCTATACTGCCTGAATATGAATCATCACAAGATCTGGAGGAAGCTGCGGAAGAACCTGCCTCTAGGTTTGTATTTTAGTTCCGGTCTTTCATCTCATGCAATGTCAGGTTTAGTAAACCAGACGCTTATGCTTAGTAAACCAGATGCCATGCTTTCCATACTTAATGATGGATTTTTTTAGAGTGTGTGTGGATAGTAAATGTTTGATCTTAGCAGCAATCTCCTCATTTTTGGTACATAGAATCCTTCCTGATGGTAAAGATATGGACCCAGTGGCAGAAAATTGCTTGCTTATGCTTCGAGGAGTTTCCATTAGATTCAGTCAATTGATGCTTGTTATGGTTCTATATCTAAATTGTTAACTTCATTTCAGTAGTGTTAGGATTTTGCTAGCATATTTTATCCACATTTTAGTTAGTTCTGCGCTTCATTCTTGCCAACCCATACCTTGATATTGTTGTGTGTGAATTGCAATTTGTCAATCCAGATGCCTGGGGGAAATTACTGTGGAGTAGCGACCCCCCAAAAGTCCTTTGAACAAAATGGGGCCTTTCAGTACAAATTTGCTTCCGAGAGGTCATGGAGCTTTCTTGCAGTACAAATTCTCTGCATGTTGGGCTTGCCATTTTCCCCAATATTTTCTTGTAGCTTTCTTGCAGTACATATATCTCAGCATATAACAATAGCTATCGTGGTCCTAAACCAATATTAGTTTTTCACCATTTGTGTTTCTTGTGATTGAAGTCATTTTCTGCGTCTGAACTGACATTTTTGTCATCAGTTTCCGTGTGCTGTCAGGAAGTTTAGTACCTTTCAGTTTCCATGTACTTAATAGTTGTTTGGTAACTTAATTCATCAGTCCTTAATAGTTGTTTGGTAACTGAATTGCAGTCATCAGAGTGCATCCTTCACTGTTGAAGCGGCAGCTGAATCTGGTCAGCAGCAGCTGACTGCTGAAATGACTGATAATATCTCACCTCAAGAGGCGGATAATTTGTCCAGTACTCCTAAAACTGCAGAGTTCGATGAATCGAAGGACACAGCAGCTTCACACATGCCCCAAGATTCTGTCCAAAATGCGTACTCAACATTTGCAGTTCCACCACAATCGCAAGGGAACCAGATTCCATTACTAGAGACATCTGAATATCAGGCACGTGCTGCACTTATTTGACCTATGCTTGTGTTCATATATTTTCCATTCATATGAAAGTGGTATGATGCATCATGCATGACTGCAAAGTCACTTTCATCCCACAAGATTAATTTTTATTTTCTTTGTTTGAAGTTGCATGTTGCATCATCACTTTACATTGCTCTACTTTACTAGAAATATTATTCCCTAGCAAACAGTAGGCTTTCTAGCTGGCCTACATTCTTAACCTTAGTGCACTTGTTTACAAGCCAATTGTTCTGTCCCAATGGGCTGATCCGATTGTTGTTGGCCTTGGCCAAACTTCTATTTTCGTGGTGTGCTTCCCAACATGAGGTGCTTCAGAGTAGACTACCCTTTCTAACCTGCCACTCCATACTATCCTGTCTCCTTTCTAATTGCTCTAATTTTGAAGTATAACGCTGTTTTGATATAATACTGCCAAATTGCGCATACAGGTGCAACAACCAAACGATTTTTCAGCGAATTATTATACACAAATTTACCGGCCAATGGCTGATGCCGATGGCCATATCTCACCATTTACTGCTCCTGGAGCTGCGATCAAGTCTGGGAACATGCCAGTTCTGCCTTCTCAAACTGGCCAGACTCCAGAGGTTTGCATCTAGACCTTTCTACATATTCAATTGTTCTGTTGCATCTCAGTTGCTGAGCCTGTTGAAACCTTTGCCAATCAATGCTAATTAATCTATGTATTTGATTTAATATATTTTGTGTTCAGTGCATCACCATGTCTTTCATCCATTTCCTTGATTGCTTTTCATCCTCAATAGTTAGATAGGTCAAATATTGATGTTGTTTCTCTATGGCGTCAAAATTTCAAACACGAACCTCAACCTGCAGATTTCAGTTTGTTTTTAACAGCTGAACCCAGTAAATAATTTCCAGTATTTCCTTGTCAGCTTTTTTATGTTTCCTCTAAACATCTACAGTTTCCTTTTTCAGTATATCCTTTTGACTGTTCTCTTTTAACTACCACAGGAACTCAACTCAGTGATGCTGTCTTCGTCTGGACCCACTCCACTTGCCACTCTAACTCCTGGAGCTGTTCCAAGTTCTATTTCTATTCCGCAACAACCTCTTCCTATGTTCCGTCAGCCTGTGGGTGTACATGTACCCCATTATCAACCTAGCTTTATCCCATACAATCAGTATATCTCTCCTTTCTATGTTCCACCACATGCCCTTCACCATTTCATGGGCAATGCTGCGTTTCCTCAAGCTCCTTCACCTGGAAGCATGTATCCACCTGTAAGTTCAGCTGTTGCACCTCCAGTCAAATACTCAGCCACAGCATACAAACCTGGTGCCAACACTGGAAGCCAGACATATGCTGTAACGCCTGGTGCCTATGGAACATATGGTTCTAATCCATCAGTCTATACAAATAACAATGTGGTGCCAAGCGGAACTTCGGCAGAGAACGGTGATGTCAGTGGATCACAGTTCAAAGAAAATAACATATATATTGCCGGACAGCAGGTAAACGTTTATGCATGTCTGTGAAATCGCACTTAACTTTCTTTATAATATCTCAATTCTTGGAATTTCCTTGCCATTGACGAGTAGAAGATATAAGATCTGTTTTGGGATTATTTTAGTTAGTACCTGCTTGGAGATGTAGTATATGGAAACTTCATGTGTGGTTATTCGCATATTGGGCTGCTAAGAGCAATTCTGCTGTTAATGTTTGCCCTTTTAATGGCTTCACTTCCTAAATTTATGGCTTATTAGCTTGAATTGTGATGCAGTTGCACAATAACTAAGTTCCTTGCAAATACTTGCTAGTACTACTGTAAAACCAGGATAAAGTTCATAAACATATGCAGTAGGCATTTTGTCTTCTTAGTGTTACTTAGCAAATACACTTGTTTCTCACTGCTTGGTACATCTTGACAGAGTGAAGGCTCCACTGTCTGGATTCCTGCACCCGGACGGGACCTATCTGCTCTCCAATCTAGCTCCTTCTATGGCCTGCCTCCACAGGGGCAGCACCTGGCATTTGCCCCTGCCCAAGCTGGTCATGGTGCCTACGGAGGGATGTACCACCCAGCACAGACTCTTGCTGGAGCTGCCGTTCATCCTCTTCTCCAGCCATCACAGACAATTGCTGGAGCTGTTGAAATGGTTGGGCCGCCTGCCAATGGTTATCAGCAGCCGCAACATGCTCAGATGAACTGGGCTAACTATTGACCACAGGCAGTATATTCTTGCGAGTAGCCACCATAGGATGAACAAAGAGAGCAGTCATTTGTTGGATACCTCAAAGTGTTGGTAAAGGAAGTTTTCCAGAGTTTTCAGCATAGGGGGTGCCTGATCAAGAGTGTATATATCATCAAGCATGGGTGATTTGCAGGGAAGGGTTGCAGATTCCCAGATGGTCTAAGTGTTCGTTCATCACTGGTTTGATTTGTAGCAGGAACTGACCATTATGTTAGACAACGAGGGTCTACGCAGGTACCCGTTCTTTTGCCTCGCACCCCCACATCATTTTAAGTTTTGCTGCAAAAAAAGTTCCAAGCTTCGTCTCTCTTGAGGTAATAGATGCTCTGGACTTCGGAGTCATGGTATGGAAGTGAGCTAGGGGGATTTTCATTCTTTCCGCTGCTTTACATGTAAAGTAGTAAATTTTGGTGCTACGAGGACATGTCTGTACTGTTTGTACTTGGGTGTAATATGAACAGTAGTATAAACCAATCCCGAAGTTGCAGCAAAGCTTTATTTCTTTTGCGTTTTCTGATATTCGGTTTAGTAATAATATTCTGACGTACGTACTAACGAGGTTTTGTCGGTTGATGTGCTGCATGGTCCTCCAATCGGACAGGAAGATTGTCAGTGAAAAATTCGTGTTAACATGAAATCAGGATCAGTAACACATGCTCCGTTGAAATGATGAAATTAGTTTTGAGCAAAATGTACTTGCTCAATGCTAGGTTTTTGTGATGCACACAGTTATGTTAGGGTTTTTTATTATCATATCTGCCACTTAGTGCCATACTAAATTTTGGCACTAGAAGTTTCAAGTACTTTGAAAATGCCATCCCTCTGTTAAGCGTGAGTCAGCACCTTTATCGTTTGGTCAAAGACCATTGACTGGGGTATTTTGGTGATTTCACTCCCATCAATGGGCTTTGAGCGTTAGTTACCATACGATACGATGGGAAGTTGCGTTTTTGAGCACCCATTTAATGAAAGGATGGCATTTTTGAGTTTTTTCAAACTTGTAGTGGCAAAATGAAGTAGTGCTACAGAACTAACGGCAAAATAGATAAACACCCTCGTGTCAATAAATAATTTTGGTCATGGGCTGTATTAAATTCTCATGAAAAGGCATAGCGATATGGATGTGAGCTAGAACAATTCTTTTTTAGGTAGAATCAGAATAATTCTTTACTCGCTTCACAAGAATTAAGCAGAGCATTTCAAATTTCATATTTCGAAGAGAGTTCACCCAAGGTGAGTGCTGTGTCAAGTTCAAAATATAGAGGTAAGAGCATTTCCAACCATTGGCCCCCCAGGAGGTGCCTAAAATCGCCAATTGGGGGCGCACCGGCGCTAAACCGTGTGCTGAGGGCGTGATGCCCCCCAGTCGCGGCGCCCACGTTTTTTTTGAAAACTTAAATTTTGTCACAAACACGGCGCAAATTAAATCAAACTTCGGCGAGTTCGTTTATATTTAAAATATTTTACAAAAAAGAAAAAAACGCTACTAGTCTGCTCCTCGTCGTCTCCCTCGCCGCTCCTCGTCACCTGCCGCCCTTGTAGTTCTACATGCCGAGGAGGCGGTAGAACCGCGTGTAGTCGTCGCCTCCGCCGCGGTCGCCGTCCCTGCTGCAACCCTCCCCCGGTTGGCGCGGCAGGTTGGACGGTCCGGGGGCGTCCTCGTCGTCGTTGTCGAGGACCACGATGTCGTGCTCGTCCTCGCGCCCACGTTTGCGGGCGGCTATCTCCTCCAGGGCCCGGCGCTGCTAGACCATCTCGTCGCGGAGGTAGTCGTCGCGCGCCCATCGTAGGGCATTGTCATCGGAGAAGCCGCGTCGGGCTATCTCCTCGTACTCCGGGGGTAGGCCGGGCTCCGGCTTGGGCGCGACGAGGACGAGGCGGCCAGAGGCGGGGGTGGAGTCGCCGATGCGGACGCCGGCTGACACGCGTCTCCTGGGACTCCGGCTTGACGGGGCGGAGGCAGGGGGAGCCGGCCGACCGACCGGACGAGGAGGAGTACGCCCCGGGGTCCATGCGCCTCGGCGTCCACGAGCTCCCACGGCGGCGAGAGAAGGACGGGGGGTCGGGGTACTCCAGCCTCGGCGTGTTGCCGCCCTCGATATACTCGAGGACGGCCTCCAGCGTGCGGCCGGGCACGCCCCACCATCGGCGCCGCCCCTCGGAGTTGAGCCTGCCGGAGGGTACGACGCCGTTGGTGGCCTCAAGCTGCTCGGCGTGGCGGCGCCGGAAGTATGGCTCACAGAGCGGGCTGTCTGGGACGTAGCGTGGCACGTTCCTCGCCGCCCGCGGTAGGGAGGCGCGGATACGCGCGATCTTCGCAGGATGCGCCGCCCTGGTGGGTGGTGGTGGCACCGGACCCCACCGGCGCTGATTCTCCACGCCCCGGGCACCCGCATGTCCGGCGGGACCGGGTACTCGGCCTCGAAGAGGAGCCGAGTTTCGTCCTCGTGAAGGTGGCGGTGGCCGAAACCGTTCGCCGCCGCGCCGTCGCCTGGGAAGCGCTCGGCCATTCTTTGAATTGGAGACGGCGAGAGGAGAGGGAGGAAGGAGGAGAAAGGGCTCGTCAGCGGTGGAGACTCTGTGCGTGCCACCGGCGCGCTGGGGTCGGCTTTATATAGGCGGAAGCGCCGTGCGTACGCGTGGCCGCCGCGTTACGCGTGGCATGCGAGGGGACGCGCGTCGTCTCGTCTTCACACCGCCGCCCGTGAGGCATTAATGGCGGAGGCGGCAGCACGCGACAACTTTGGCATTGATTCGCCGCGGAAAACGAGGCGATGAGGACGACGACGCGGCGAGAAGCGAGACAAGTCGCTGGCAAGAAGGGCCCACGGCTCTTTCGCGCCAAAAAAGATTCGCCCGACGCCCCGAGCGCCCCCAGCACGTCGGGTTCGGGTTGGGTCCGCCGGCGCCAATTTCGGCCCGAGCTAGCGAAAATTGGGCCCTTGAGAGCGCGACTGGGCCGATTTTTTACGCTGGCGGTCGAAAAGTCGTCTAGGGGGTCTTGTTGGGGGCACGGCTGAAGATGCTCTAAATGGTTTGGTCAACAGTACTGCAGCTCTAGGCTGCTTTTCCTTCCCAAAGCCTGATCCAAATGTACTCTGCTCTTTTTTTTTGAAAGACCAGGTTTAGCCGGCTTCATTAATTTAGAAGAAAGCAATGGGAAATACATGGAGGATCAAGTGATCATGGTTGAAAAAAGAACACGTAAAAAAAAAGAGAAAACTAGAGCTCACAAGGAGCGATCATGAAGGTGCTATCTCGCTGGATAGACCCCGAACGAGGGCTCTAGGCAGGCGGCACCGACGGCGCGCCGGTGCTTGCAATCCAGCCTGATGGCGCGGGTGACGTCATTGCGGCATGGTAGCTTTTCCCTGAAGACGCATGCGTTTCTCTCCTTCTACAAGTTTCAGGCGATCAAAAAGCATCGTTCTGAAGCCCTTTCGCGCTCCCGCTGGCGCGTGACGTATTATTTGCAGGCAGTGCTGCATTGTAGAGTGGAGCGGCGATTTGGCGGTGACCATTTCCTCGCAGCCGGCTCTGGCAAAGAAAACTGTCCAAATTTGACGGGAGAACGGCACTCCCAGAAGAGATGAACCGCCAACTCCAGGCTTCGGAGACAGAGGCTGCAAAAATATGAGGTAAAAGCACCCCAGGTACCCTAACTTGCACAACATGTGATATTTTAGTCCTAAACTTGTAAAAATCAACCCCACCATACCCCAACTTGCACTGCATGTGACGTTTTAGTCCCAGGCCAATGACAGAACGACATGTGGCAGCCAGGTGGCTGGCCCGGTCGTCGCACGCAGTTTTGCAAAACGCCCCCTGCCATTTTCTCTAATCAACCCGCAGTATAGCACACCTGTCCAGTCTGTCACGGCTCTCCTTCGACTGCACCCCGTCGGCCGCCATGGCGGCGGCGGCCACCGTGTGCTCGCCGCGCCCGTCCGCGGCGCTCCGGCCGCACCGGTCCGGCGACGTGGAGTGGGCGGCCATCCGCGCGCTCTCGGCCTCCTCCCCTGCGACCCCGCTCGGGCCCAGGGTCTCGTGGCGCTCTGTGCGCTCCGCCCCCTTGCAGGCCACCACGTTACAGATCTGCCGGCCGAGGTACACCTCAGACATGACCTGGTCCGTGCCGGCGGCGGCAGGAGCAACAGCTGCCCCCCGATGAGACTTCGGATGGGCCGCCGGAGCTGCCGCCCTCGAGGGAATCGAACATGGTGGAGTAGTAGTAGTGCTCGGTGAAGCGGTCCAGGAATGTGCCGGAGTTGTGGTTCCCCTCCTGCTCCACCACGGTGACGATCCTCGGCCGCACGGCGCGCACGGTGCCCAGGACCTTCTCCATGGCGCCGGGCTGGGCGAGCAGCCGGTGCATCTCGAAGACTGAGTTGACGGAGATTACCTCGGGCTCCTCGTTCGAGTCCTCCGGCTGCAGCATGAACGGCTCCAGGTCCGCCAGCGTGGCGGCGCCGAGGCCGCGGTACTGGAAGTCGACGCGGATGGTGTACGCGAACTGGGCGAGCTTCCAGCCCATCTGCTGCAAGGCGTCGGTCTCGTCCGGCTGCGGGGGGCCGACGCCGGTGAGGCGGAACGAGGGGGTGCCGCCGGGACGGAGGGCTAGGGCCTGGAGAAGGGCGGGCCACTGCATCCCCTGCTTGAAGGTGGTGGACCGGCGCGCCGTGGCCAAGAAGCACAAGCTGGAGCGGGCGGCCGCCGAGAAGCGCATCCTGCGGCTGCTCGACCACCCGTTCCTCCCCACGCTCTTCGCCGACTTCGACGCCGCCCCGCGCTTCTCCTGCGTTGTCGTGGAGTTCTGCCCCGGCGGCAACCTCCACTCCCTCCGCCACCGCATGCCCTCCCGCCACTTCCCGCTCTCCTCCGCCCGGTTCTACGCGGCCGAGGTGCTCCTGGCGCTCTAGTACCTGCACATGATGGGCATCGTCTACCGGCTACCGCGACCTCAAGCCAGC